TCGAGCTCAGGGAGAAGCTAGAGGATGTCAAGGAGGAGCGTATGCGGCTCAGGGATCAGTGGGCGCGCTGGTGATCACGATCAGCGCGCAGAGAATTGAAATCGGCAGCAAGCCATAGAGCATGCGGCCCGAAAATCAGTGCCAGCTGCCATAGAGCACGACATGCACTCATCATCATGACCTTGCCCTCTAAAAGAGAGGCCATGAAATTTCATTTATTTATTGCAGCTGGCCACATCATCAGACATAGTGGCCCCAGTGACACAGGCACATTAACTTGTGACCTGACCGGAATGGCACAGGCACATTAACTTGTGACCTGGCCGGAATGACGCAGGCGCATTAACTTGTGACCTGACACGGGCGCATAACAAAACTTGTGACCCGAATGACACGAGAGCAGGAATACAGTGAGGGGCTTCGATCGGTCGACCATTTTGGATCAATGCTTTTGGAACATTTGAGTTGCATGCATGGTCGCTCAATTTGATTTGCGTTGTCGCTGGTTTCGCAGGACTCACAAGGCAGCGCAGCTACATCGGCCAAACCCAAGCCTGAACCGGAGGCTCCAATGCATGGTATATGTTTGGAGCGCTATCGATATCGTCCATGGCCAGGAGTCATGTTCAAGCTCATCTTCTAGTGATGAGTCTTCGTCCTCGGAATCCTCAAGCTCAGCTTCAAAAGCTTTGTCGTCGCATGAGGCTGGCTTCTTCCGATGGCGTTTGAGACAGTCCAAATCCATCCAAGTCGAATTCATTGTGACAGGCTGGAATGTCAAAGGATGAACCATCAGAGGATCCCCCGGAGAAGGCCAGATTTTTGATTTTGGGTTGGACAGAAGCAGAGTCGTTGATTTTTGATTTGTTGATTTTGGGTATTTTGATTTTGAGGCTGCAGAAGCAAAGGCTGCAGCAGTGCCGTCAATTGTAGACCAGGACAGTTTTTTAAAGCGCCTGGCTAAGTGAGTTTCGGGCGTTGATTCCGACAGGCTCAACATAAAACGCCGCCATGCCCTTTGTCCTCGTCTTCCTCCAGCAGTTCGATTTCATCCAACGAGAATGAGGCTGTTTGTTTTCAGAGGGCGTCGGAGACAGTGCAGAAGTCCAATCAGTTGTGTTTCATTGATTCATTGGTGGCCTCTAGGATATTAGATTTTGATTCTCACTCTGACAGGCTGCAGGGATGCCAAGTCAATCATCATTGCGTGAGGCTCGATGTTTTGAGAATTGGGTTATAAAGGCTGCAGGGACCTAAACATTATTCCTGTTCTTTTGGAAGCCTTGAGGTCAGCATTTATTGAGAATTTCAATTCTGGCTGGCAGGCTGCAGAATTAAAGATATCGATGGAAGTACCATCAGACCGGCCGGTAAAGGAGCAACCTGAGAACAAGGTTCCAGTTCCTTTTGGCCTTGAGGTCAAGGTTCGATTCTCCAAATCTTACAGGCTGCAGAGACACCGAAGGAGCAACCTGAGGGCAAGGCCTCGAGGTCAAGGTAATTTGATTCTTGAGAACTCCAATTAAATCTGACAGGCTGCAGAGACACCGAAGGAGCAACCTGAGGGCAAGATTCCTGTTCTTTTGAAGGCCTTGAGGTCAAGGTTATTCTATATTCTTGAGTTTTGGCACCTGGAGAATTGAGTTCTGTTTTTTCCGGTTGGACAGTTAATTCTGACAGGTTGCCACAGTGCCCGGAAGCGCTATTGATGAGATGGAGACACAGGATGGATATAGATCTCTGTAGGAGACAGATTGAAACGCCTTTTAGATTGCAATTGATTTGACTTCTGGAGGAGATAGATTCTCATGGCCTTGGCCTTCCACATGTTCATGCTACAGCTCGGGCCCGGGAGTGCGCATTCAGCTCAAGGGTACATGTGTAATTGTATATAATGGTAGGCTGAAGTGACCGAAGACTTGATGGTCAGCGATGACGAGCTGATCCAACATGGCAAAAGGATAACTAAGGGCACATACAAGGACGAATGGAAAATAGATTCACTGCCTTGAGAATAATTCATTTTGAAGAGTTCCCTAGATTTTACGCATTCTTCATTCTCTAGGACAGAAAGCCTTTGGTGGAAAGCCCGCCAATATTAACAGATGAAGAAAGAAAACGAGTTGCGAAGATCTTGGAGGAATCTGAACAGATTGAAGCCGAGAAAGAACGTGAAGATGTTCTCAAGGTGTGGTTCCCTAGTTTCTTTCTGGGAGCTGAGCCCAATGATTACTTTTTTCAACTGCTGAGGCCCAAGCACGGGTCCGGGAAGTGTTGAGAGAAGAGGAGGCAGAGAAGGAAGCAGACAAACAAGCTCGAAAGAAACAAAGAACTGCAGAGAAAGCAGGAAAAAAACCTGCTGACACTCCACCCGGAACTGTACTGCCTGACATCTTCAAACCAGAGAACGCTTCAAATCTTGATGCCAAGACAGCCTTCTTCTCAGCTGGTTCAAGTAGCCGCGACAGCTCAAGGGACCTACCAGTCAGGTGCGGTGGCGCAGGCCGATCCTTGAGGCCTCACCCTATAGGTGTTTTGAGCCAGGGTTGACCACCCTGGGTTGTTGCCATGTCCGGAGGTCCTCGAGCCCAGGTTGGGGGGTATGCACCCTGGGATGAGGGTGTCACTGGTGGCTGACATCGAGTTCCACAATCCCAAAGGAGCTCTTTGTAGAAGCGTGTTGTTCCGACAACCTTTTGTCCTGCAAGCCTCAGTTGACAAGAGCGTGTCGAGAGTTGCAGTCTTGGGAGCACTCTTCTCAAGATCACACCTGGGATATGTCCTGACGGTTGATGACCCTAGGTTCCTTCTCATGCTGCCACCGGTCACGGCCGATGACATGTACAAGTTGAAGGAGACTTGTTGTGGCTTGGGAGCTTTGGGGTGTGGCGCACAATATGTTGGCTGGGAGGTTCTGGCCGTGAATGATATTCAAGCACCTTTCTGCAAAGTCCATCAGGGAGGCAAACCCGCTGTGATTGAAGGAGACATTGGAAAGTTGTCCACGGTGGTTGAACTGTTCGAGGCCTATCCTAGATCCACGTGCGTTGCCTTTGGCTTCAGCTGCCAACCCTTCAGCCACGCTGGAGATCAGAGAGCAGGTCATGACGAGAGGGCAATGTCTTTGCCCCATGCTTTGTTCTTCAGTTGGGTGACTCAGGCACCAGCTATCGTGATTGAATGTGTTTGCGAAGCGGCTTCATCAGCTTTTGTCAAGAAAGTGTTACAAGCATTCACCAGTGCCACTCGATATGAGAAAAGCGAGACGATCGTGGACTTGTCTTCCATGTGGCCATCTAAGAGGAAACGTTGGTGGTTGGTGCTGACAGCCCCTCGGTTCGGGAAGGTGTCCATTGAAGCTCTGCCGTCTTTGCCTGAGCAACCCACGATCAATGATCTGTTCCCTGAGTTTCTGAAGATCTATGGCAGCCCAGCCTGGGATGATTATGTTCTTTCGGATGATGAGCTACGCTTGTTCCATCAGTATGCCAAGAACTTTGAAGATCTCATCCTAGATCCTGCTCGAATTGCCCCGACGGCCTTGCATGCATGGGGGAACCAGACTAGGCCTTGTGCCTGTGGATGTAGGCCACCTTTCAGCCACCGTCGATTGTCTGAGCGTGGTCTTTTTGGTGCCTTGGTTCGTGAGCAAACACCGCACGGTCCCATGATTAGGCATGTGACTGCCACTGAGGTTGCTTTGCTTAATGGGTATCCAATGGGTCACAGTGATCATCCAGGTCGTCTGCTCTTAGCGGGGGTAGGTCAATTGGCAAGCCCGGTTCATTCGGAACTTGTCTTTGCGTGTTTGCACCGCCAATTCAGGGCAGGCAATTTCGACGTGGTCAAGCCCATTGAGGCCAGGGAGGCGATTGCAGCCATCTGCAATGATGTCCTGACCCTGAGAGATAAATGGTTTGGTCGATCCAAGTCCGCCTCTATGACCATGTTCGAGGAGAGGTTGTCCGACTTGTTGGGTTTTCCTATTGGTTGCCATTCAAAAGATTCCAGTCCGCTCTGTGGTGAACCTGCGGATGAGGGACAGGGAGTGCAGACCAATGATGAGGTTTGGGTATGTCCCTTCCTAGACTGCCCATTGAAGGACGATCAGATCGAACCTGTTGTCCCCGAGGTTGCCAACCGCACGTTGTTTGCCGAGGTCATCTCTCCGACAGTGAAGTACTCCATCCTCCCGCTGCCTGATCATCATTTTCAGGCTACTGGAGCGATCTCAGGCTTCCGGATGCCTAAGCGTAAGATGCAAGATCCTGTCGCTACCCCTGTTCCACAATCAGGTGATTTGTCCGAGTTGCAAACAGCACCGGTGATCCCAATTCCTCAGGAGCCAGTTTCACAGGATGGGGTTTCGCAAGCTCGCCTCTTGAAGCCTTTCGTTCGTGCTAGTGCCCCCGAGGAGTTCGTTGATTCGTCGATCGGCATTATCCGAGTATGTGACAACAGTGTTCACGCAATCAAGACCAGAGGAACAATTTCGGTTGCAAGTTTCCTGAGAGCTGAAACCGCCATCTCAGGATGCAGAGGTCAAGTCTTCGATATTTTGGGGTGCCGCCTGACTGATGAGGCTTTGCTTGATCCAGGAAGCTTCTACGTGTATGCTGAGAGCGATCAAATTCCTGAGGCGATGACTTCAAGAATCACTTGGCTTTCGGCCAATGGTACCAAAGTTGCAGTTGACGAGATGGAATTCTACATCCGCACAGTGTCTACCACCTTCAAGATGCCTTGGGTTTCTCCAATGCTCATTGAAGATTTAGCCTCAATGCAGACCATTTCAGCGGCTTGGCTCTCTGAGGTGTCAGGCGCTCTTGATGAGTCTGGAGTTGTTTCAGCCATTCTGGCTAATGGGCATTGGACGCCAGTGATCGCACACCAGGCTCCCCATGGCAAAACAAGGTTCATTGTCACGCAAGCTGGTGCCTCTTTGTGGCCTTCGTTGTTTGACCAGCACACGAGTTGAGCACTTCATGCATATTTCCGCCATGGGGCAGGATTTTCCTCATGACTGTGGCTTCCAGTCGTTCATGTGGCTCACTGCCCGAGCGGCTGACTCAGAATTTGATCCCGCTGATTGGTCCAGAGCCATCCGGATGCGATGCAACTTCGTCTTAGCTGTGATTGGACGAGATGATCATGGTCGGCCTAGGGACTGGCTGTTGGGCAGTGGGTCCGAGGTGCAAATTGCACTGGCAGGGGTTTTGCGTGAGCATGCCGTCCCAGAAGCCAAGGTCATTGAGCGGGCCAACATGTTGATATCGCAATTGGGAGAAGCTAAGCTGCATGACATGTTCAGGAGCAAGAATCCATGGAAGTTTCTCAAACAGGTTTGCAACAATCACAAGCCGAAGCTGCAGATTGTTCTGGAAGATGAGCTTCAAGCTGCGATCGGAGAGCGTGCGCGTTCAGTTGCTCCAGCCGGGCGCAAATCTGACAAGCGCAAGAAAGGCAAGCAGACACCTGAACTGACTTCGATCCATCCAGCAGATATCACAATTCCTCCGGGGGTCTTTCGGCAGCAGGATGGAGGAGAGCTTCCTCAGTTGAAGATCAATGAGATCTCACCCACTGCGGCAGGAGTTGTTGTCGGGCACGAAGAAGATCTTGGACCATACATTGGCAAACCAGGGCTCTCGTCTCAAGGTTTGGCCTTGCTTGTCATCTCGCCTAGCAAGTACTTGCTGGACAAGTTTGGGGAGCTCATTCGATTTCCAGTGGTCTGTGTGCAGACGGGGGAGCCAATGCTGGTCTCCGCTTTGCTTTTGCAGAAAGGTGCCATCCTTGTTGAGCGCAACGTTCCCGATCGGCCTCTGCGGATCCAGGAAGTCTCCAACGTGGTTGTCAAAGTTGCCATGTTTAGGGATGAGTGCCCGACTCCATGGGAGAAGATCACCGCAGCACCCGTCAAGCATCTGTTGGATCTATTCCCGCAGTTGATTACGTGCAGAGAGCCATCGTGTGTTTGTCCAAAGTTTCATCCAGTTTCTCGTGAGGACAGTGATATGATCATGGACGTCTGGAACAGAGATTTCATTACGCTCAAGTTCCGCCGTGAGGCGCCAAACTCAGCTGATGTCTTTATGTGTTGCATCCGGTTTAGGACCTCGGCGATTGAATCGGTGCTGAAGCAGTCGGGATCGCATGGATGTTACATAGAGATCAGAGCGCCTGACGGGAAGCGAGACGATGTCAATCACTACACTGTCTGGCTTCCGCGAAAGTCGTTGAGAGAGGTCCAAGCTGAGCAAGCCGCCATCAAAGAGCCGTCCGCGATCATTCGTGTGGGGCACAGGTATGGTCTCCGGGTGTCAGCTGGTGATGCTGAAGCAGTTCATGCCACCGTCCGTCAAGAGCAGGCTGTCATGTTGGGTCCCAACAAGCAGACCTGGTGCGTGGGGCCTCTGCCATGGGGATCCTCCAAACAATCAGTTCAAAAGCTCATTGATGAGTGGGGTTGGAAGGCGAGAGCATTGCACACAACCGGCAAGGCTCCCGATGGATCCGGTGTGCTTTGGAGTTTGCACGCTGCTGGACCCCCACCAGCCACTGTGTATTCCCTGAGCCATGGAGATGTCCTCCTGACCAGAGTTGATCTGCCACAGGCCATTACGTCGAGCCCTGCACCGGTCCTAGTGGCCTCCAAACGCACACGCGACTCATTGTCTGCAGGTACCCAAGATCCATTGCAGGTCCATGATCCTTGGGCTCAGTCGTCTAAGCCCCCGCCTGCAGAAACTAGGTATGTGACGCAGGCACATCTAGATGCTTTTGCTGCAACCTTGGAAGCAAAGGTCTCGGTCAAAGCCTCTGAATCTAGTGATGATGTCTCTATGGACATGGATGTGACAACCCGAGTAGAGCAGCTTGAAATGCAGGTCCAACAGTTGACCCAGGCCCAAAACAGGCAGACAGCTGAAACACAAGCCATCGCCTCTCAGGTTTCATCGCTGACCTCCAAGGTCGAAGCCACCGCACGATCGGTCGAAAACGCAGTTGAGGCCAAATTGACGCACCATTTGCAGGAGCTGGACAGTATGCTCTCCAAGCGTCTCCGCTGCACTACTGTGACGTCAGATCCGAAAGAGTGACAAGTGCGGCAGGGCATCATTGGATGCCTGAGCCTGTGGGTTTTGATCGTGTGTTGCGCCGGTGGTCTCGACTTTGCCTTTTGCTTGGTCATGCCGGTAGTGTTTACAGTTTGGTGGTGCCTTCAGAGTTTTCGCTGTCAGTTGCACTCTGGATACGTGTTTGTCAGGGGTTGCATGAACGGAATGCATCCGGGCATACCTGTAGGGAGTTCATCTCGCTCATGCCATTTGAGGGCTTCAAATTGCCGCAAAGTTGGTCCGCACAGGGGTTTGGTCAGCCTGAGGACTTTGGCTTTTCTCTGCCTCGTGAGCCCAGTTCGATGCCTTGAGTGCATCAGAGTTCGGGGTGCCAAGCATTCGGTCTGGGATCCTGGTCTTTCGTCGACTGAGCTGGGCTTCGTTCGGGTTAGGGGTCCCCAGTTGCTGTGACCTGACAAATTCCAATTTGGATAGTTTAGGTCCCACTCGGGCAGTGGCTTTGATGCCAATTGGGGTCATGCATCACGGGGAAGCTCCACTGTTCGAGCAGGTCTATACTGTCTACGATCAAAAAGGCCGACTGAGGGGGATCCTTGTGTCCACTTTAGGCCCCTCCACGTCAGCCAGCACAAGAGTCGATTGCACAAGGACTACCATAGTCATGATTTCGGGTTCAGTGTCACCACTGATGAGCTAGCCGCCTGCAGTGTCCGAGCTCTTTCGCCCAGCCGGGGTGACGTGACTTTCCCTCCTTGGAGATCAGGCGGGACTATCAAATGTAAGTGGAGGATAGCTTTAAGCCATGCTGCACAGGCATGTTTTTGTCTATGTCGGCCGCAGCTTTGTTTCGCAGTGACCCACTTGGAAGTCCTAACGTGCTTGCAGGTCAACAAGGAGTATCTGAAAGCGGCTGGAGTGATGTCATCACCCGCTTTACTGAGACACCAGGCACACGCTGTGGCCGCCGCTTCCGGTCATGCCTGGCCCCTTCACCATCACCAGCACAAGCGTCGTCTGCACAAGATCTACCACCAGCCTCGGCAAGTGGCCTTCCTGAGTAAGCCGCTATCGGATTGGACTTTAGCCGGTGAGCCTGCTTGGGGTCGTGAGTTGGTCCTTGGTTCTAGTACGCCAACTCCGGTGACCTGCGCCAGGAACCTTTGGGGGTCGCGCCTGTTCACAAATGAGTCGATGGAGCGCTTCAGTGGCCTTCTTTTGCACTTCCGTTCGAAGCTCAGAGTCCACCCACGGTTCGGCACTGTCGATAGCTTGAGTAAGTTGGCCCTTGACACTGGTGCAGGGCCCGGGCATCTTTGCAGGGGAAGTGGAGCTTCCAAGCACTGGCGGCAGGTCTTAGTGGTTAGTTCAAATCCTCCGGCATTATCGGCTGGGTTTCACTCCCAGTTCTGGGAAGTGTGTGAAATGTTCGCGCAAACCTACTCTGTTCAGATCGGTCTCAACTGTGTGGCGTTGGGTCTTTCGCATGCTGTGGCATTTGTGCCAACTGAGGGTGTGAATTTAGGCAAAGTTGAGCCTTTCATGCAGGTTGGCAGTTTGCATTTTCACTTTCTGGAAGCACAGGCCCTCTTCGGCCATGAACGGCTCCATCTCGTCAGCCAGTACAAGCTTCGATTGCACAAGGACAACCATAGGCATGGTCCGATGGCCACCATGGATGGGCAAGATCTTTACACAGCCTTTGGCCTTTGGCCCAACCTAGGTGAGGTCCTTGCCTCTCTAAGTAGACTGATGCCAGCTCCGGGGGCTCAAGGGGTCAGTGAGGTCCTTTTCCTTAGCCAGCACAACAGTCGTTTGCACCCAAGGCATGATCACTTCATAGTCGCAAGTGAGCTTTGCACTTGCAAGGGTTTTGCAGATCTGACCACCCGAGGTCATGGCGCAAACAGTCTCTCAGACGGGCCAATCCTTTGCACCTTGGCATGGCCGTGGAAAGGTTTCGAGGAGTTTGCAGTGGCACCGAGATCGAGGGGTGGGCATCTTGGGCTGGTTGTGCACCTCCAAATCCTCGTAGGTCAGCGGAGAGGCAAGTATGGTTTGGCTCACTATGAGCAGGTCGAATCCTTGTCCACTTCGCAACACCGCAATTGGCTGCCCAGAGCCTACCCACACTGGCTTTTGGTTGCCGCTTGTAGCCATGGTCCCCATTTTGGGAACCAATGCAAGCCTGGTCTTTGGTATGCTTTCAAAGGTCCGGGTCGACTTCCTGCCGGGTCTGGTGTCACGGGGCTTCGGGTTCCCAGAGGTCCCACGAGAGGTGCTCCTGCCGGGCATCAATTTGGGTTTGTGCCTCCTGAAGGTCCCATTTTCGCAGTTTCACCGTGGCGGGTGAGGGATCAAGCCATTGCCGACAACACCGGGAAGCCAATTCTGGGTCTCACCAGGAGGCCGTCGATCGCCGCCTTCATGATGAATTTTGGGGGCATGTCGTGTGGGGAGGATGATGCCTTTTGCCTCGGTCGGCTTGGTCCTTCACGCAAATTAGGTTTGGTGCAGTTTCATCCAACCACTTGCTGCGGCATCCCAAATGCCTCGCCACTAAGGTGTGAATCCCTGCCTTTGACATGTCCGGCAGCCGGTGCCAAATCTCAGACTGACTCTGCCATTGGGATGGGGCGGCAGAAGCTGGGTGGAACTGGTGAAGAGGGCCTCATGCCATCCGTCATCCATGCATGGGGTGTCGTGGCTCGTCTTTTACCACAAGATTCGATTGCACTTCTTCCACGGCTGCATCCTAGGAGTGTCTGCACCGTAGTGAGCAGAACCATGAGACGACAAGAAGGGTCGGGTCCTATGCCTGTAACGGCCCTTTGTGCATCACATGGCTTGTCATCCTTTTCGCTTTGGGGCTTGGTTGCATTGCGCCCTTGGGTCAGGCGCAAGACAATGAACCTGCCACACGAGGAGGGTGATTATGTCAGAGTTGCTGCTTTCCACTGTCTCAGGCTAGTTCGGCGGGGGACCCCGGCCCAAGGCACCGTGCTGATACCTTGTCACCCGAGCTTGGCCCACTGCATGTGGGCTGCATCGGCCACTGATGCATGTCTTCGTTTCCCTGTTGTGGGGGAGCAGTGTTTTCGGCCTTGCGGCAGACTTGGTCAAGTCAGCGTGTCCTACCTCATCAGGGTCATTGTGATGGGATCGTGCCGTATAGGAGAAGCCCTTGTCCCAGGTCCAAGTCCGAGCGCCACTGGGGAGCCTGCGGGTGAGTGGTCCCTAGGTGCCATTAACCCGAGTGGGCTTCTGTTCAAGAGTGACCACATCAGAGATTTGCCTCCTGGTATTTTCGCCATCAGTGAGAGTTCCCTGACCCACGCAGGTGAGCATAAGGTTCGCAGAGAATTGAAACTTTTGTCTCCTCCTCGCAAGTTGCTCACGGGCCATCCAGCGCCCTTTAAGACTGATGCCAAATTTGCGATTGGAGGAAAGCAGACCGGGGTAGCATTCGTGTCGTCGTTCCCTTGTCGATCCATTGTCGCAGGGTGGCAACCTGACCTTTACGCCACATCACGCATTGCAGCGGCAAAATTTTGGGTCAGAGGCCAGTGGATCACAGGAGGGGTTGTTTATGGAGAAGCCTTCCTCGCAAATACGAAGCCTGTGAGGGCACACACTGAGACCCTGTTACAAGAGCTTACTGGTCAGGTAGTCCACCTCACAGGACCACGTTTCGTAGCAGGAGACTTCAATCAGGAAATGCATCATTTGCAGGAAGTTGAGCTTTGGAAGAGACAAGGATTCATAGATCTACAAGATCTGGCTTGCCTCCAGTGGAACCTCGCCCCTGCGTTGCGGCCACATGCAAGGGCACCACGCGCAAGGATTTTGTATTCATATCCCCTGAACTGCGTGACCTATTGCTGGCAGTCCGTCTCGACAATGAGGTTTTTCCGGATCACGCCATTCTGTCGGGAAGCTTTCGCCCCTTAGGCCCACCCGAAAAAGTACGGATATGGCGACGCCCGCAGCCTTTCGCAGTTCCGCCTGAGGTCCAGAAGTCTCTTAGTCACTCTGACATGGCCTTTCCTGTTAGTGCCGGTGACCCGACCGAGGTGTATCAAGAATTGTGCCACCAGTATGAACAAGCCCTTCGTGCAGAGTGCATCTCCAAAGGCCAAGCCGGCCCCCGTCTTGCCAGTTAGGTCGAGGCCAAGCCACCCACTTGTCGACAGTAGTGTGTGATCGATGCCCGATCAAGTCTTCCAGGCTGGGTGAGAGATTGCCTAAGGTCAACATCGAATCCTTGATGTACAGGAGATGCTTTACGCAGCTTCGTCGCTTGGTGAACTTTGCACGTATGAGAGAACATGGTGCCTCCCCGAGTGCAACAATCCATCGTTTGTCACTGTGGTCCGCCATTTGTCGAGCGCCTTTTGAGGGGTCCTTCTCCAAGTGGTGGGCGCGAAATCTCACAGACCCAGCAAACTGCCAATTCCCGCAAAATGTCCCTTCTCAGTCAATTGCCAAGCAGTTGGCCAGTGACTTTGAAAGCTTTGTGAACAGGCTGGAGCAAGACCTCATAACTGCCAGGAGGGCAGCTGCGCAAAAAAGGCGACAGACTGACGCCAACCAGGTCTTCCGTGACATACGGGCGCCGGGACCTGAACCCATCTCTTCGTTGGCACCATGCCGGGAAGCCAAGGTCACATCCATTGAGGCCGCAGACTCGTTTTGTTTTGAACCTCGTTGCGCCTTTGACGCCCAAATGCAGTTGTCTCACGCCCAAGGGCAATGCAGCCTGGTAGAATATGTGAGGATGGCCAAGCCTGGGTCTCTGGTCCCATGCCGGAGGTCGGGGGAGTGGTTTACCAGCACAGTTTTCTGGGCTCCTTGCAGACGCTGCATGGTGAGTTTGAGTCCGCATGGGCCAAGCGGTGGAACAAACATGATGCAGTGGCCCCAGATTTCTGGGATCGAGTTGATGCAGTCATTTCCAAGCTCTTTAGTCCTCTCCCGTCGTGCCGCCTTGTCATCACGGTTGACATGTTCCGTGCGTTCGTTAG